TAGCTTGTCTTACCCCCAAAAACCCCGCACGCGTTGATTTGATGCGTGCCAGGCGCACAGCAGAACCTTTTTGCTGCTGAAACTTCTCTTTTTGTTTTTTTTCTTTCTTTCTTTGAGGATATACCTTCAAGAAAAAATCAAAGTATTACATATTTTGAGGAAAAGCCTGTGTCTTTAGTAGATTTTCCTTCTTCAAGGGAGTCTCATCGCTGTTGGCCTTTCCCAGCCTTCCTGCGGGCAAGCGGCGTGTGGTCTGGCTCCTGTGAAGCTGGGCACAACGGGCCCGCTTCCTCGTTTCCCGCCGTTCCCGCGTTTGTGTGTTGTGTTTGCACTGTTACGTTTGTACTAACCAAGATAAAATAGCGGAATGAAGTACTGCTCGTTGTTGTTGTTCTTTTTTGTTTTGCTGAAGGGTAGAAGTTGTTGTTTTTCCTCATTTCCGTTTCTGTGAAGCGGCACGAATGCCCAGTCCTGGGCACTGATGGACGTGGATGGGCGCGTTTTGGCCTGCCAGGGGTTTCAGGGGAGTTACTGGGTCACGCGGGATTTAATTCACGTACGCCGTCTGGGTGTTTGTGGCAAGGCAGAGCTCAGAGCTAGTTTAACGTTAGGGAAATGACTTGAATCCTTTCCTGGCCTCCATAAAGGTGTTTTTATTGCCTCGTTTTTGTTAACTTCTGAAAAAAACATACCCGTCATTGTTCAAACTGCTGTGAATCCTCAGGAAGAGGCAGTGGAAGGAGTGCGAGCTCAGGAGAAATGTTAAGGTGAATATGGTTTTCTTTGCCAACTGAAACGGGACTCTTAAAAGGTGTGCCCCCTGCTTTTCAGTTGTGAGCTTTCTGAGGTGTTACTAACCAGAGTTACAAAGCCCGTGTTTTCCTTTTCTAGTCGATTTTAGTGCAAATAAACTTAGAGCTGCATCATCTCTCTCTGGTTGGGTAGTTTTCTATGATACGTGTGGAAGACCAGCAGAATTTGTCCCCTGTGTTCTTTGAGATCAGTGTAGTGTCTTACCTGGTGCTTAGCTTTGAAGGAGGATTTCTGAAAATAAGAGAAGCAAGTCTGGTGGTTTTGCGGTCTGTTATGTAGGGCAGATCACCATAAAACCTCCGAAAGTGCATACAAAAACTAACTATCTCCCTCTCTCTCTCTCTCTCTCTCTTTCTCTTTTGTGCTTTTAGATCCTTGGTTATTTACCAAAATTAAGTGATGGAAACATATATATGCTAAAAAAAAAAAAATCACTGTTGGGGCTTTGGTATTCACATCTCTGTGAAATACTCTAGGATGTTCCATGAAAACCCACCAGCCGATTGCTTAAATTTAATAATTACATCTACTGAAGCTGATGCTTTCCCAAAAAAAGGCCATAGTGCAAGGATCCTTAGCCCCGAAGAAGCTGAGAGACTGGCAAAAGATAAGGTTTTGGTGACTGATTTCAAACAACTAAAATTGGAGAAAGAGGCACAGAAGAACTGGGATCTATTTTACAAAAGAAACAGCACCAACTTCTTCAAAGACAGACATTGGACAACCAGAGAGTTTCAAGAGTTAAAAGCATGTCGGGAGGTGAGCTGAATACACCTATCTATAAGTAAAGAGATATGATTCATTGTTTTCAAATGATGTAGTAATATTTCTAACAAAGCCATTAAGGTGAGAGCTCTCACGTTTTAAGTGTGTAGTGCTTTGTGTAGTGTAGTCTCTTTTAATGTCAAAGATATCTCCTCAGGATCAGTTTAGTTTCAGTTTATAATTCTTTCATATTGTATATGGAGAACCAAATCTGGAATATTTATTTTGCATCTGCACAGAGAGACAAGTTGTCTATTTAGGACGCAAGTTACAGCACTTAAAACACTGTTTTAAAGAAAGCATCCAGAACTACAGGCTAATTGCAAAATATCCTTAAGGGGAATAGTCAGATGCATCTGTTGCTCATTCTATCTGGATGAGACACAAGACAGCAATAGTACAACAATCTGTTAATTAAGTGGGTGGATGACTAAAGAAATATTAAAAGTTTTAAAAAGACGTGTAATTTTGCACAAATTAAAATTCCTGTTTTGTAGTGTTAGATTACTGATGGATGCCTCTTCAGTTCTTGAATCAATGGTAGTTAAAATTGATTGCTTTTAAAATGCTAATTGAAACGTGTGTCTGCTTGTGTCATGAGGAAAACAAAAATGATGTGATGCCTCTTGGATTTCTTCCTTCCCAGTTTGAAGATCAGAAGCTGACCATTCTAGAAGCAGGCTGTGGGGTTGGGAACTGCTTGTTTCCACTCCTAGAAGAGGATCTGAATATTTTTGCATATGCCTGTGATTTCTCTCCTAGAGCTGTTGAGTATGTGAAGGTTGGTGTGGTATTCAGTACTTCTTTTAGAGTGTCTTTAGAAGCTTATGAATTTGCACATGGTTGGAGTGATGGACTTGCCTTCCTTTTTCAAGAAAAGTAAACTAGCATTTGTCAAAGAACAGGAACAGATCCATTTCACTGGAGCTCCCATTGAAAGAAGCTGAATCGTTGTTTAAGACCTAATTTTTGAGCATCAAATTGTAGTAGCGGTATATGTTTGTTACTTCACCTGAATGTTCTGTGAAGACTATGTTTTCCTGGGGAGAGAAGTTTGCCTTTGTGGGGTAGAGGGAGTCCCAAGGATAATCTTGAAAACGGGGATATGAAAGTTATTGGTAAAGAAATCTGGAGACTGATCAGAAATAGGTATGTTTATACCTGCTCATAGCTAAAGAGTGCTGCAATCCAAAACAAGTCTTCCAGTAAGGCTTATGGGGACAATGGACTGGTTTGTTAAATTTGTAATCAGAGGTAGGTTTTTATGTATCTTTCATTAGAAAGCATTCTCTTATGGGACATTTATGGCTGAGAACCACAAGACTCGTACTGCAGACCTCACCCAAACAATGGAAGAAATACATTAGTGGGTCACAAACAGGAGGTGACAGCAACTCCCTGGAGTGCCACGGGTGTACTGCCAGATGAGGTTGGACTGAGTGTATAGGCTTGGTTTTGGTCAGCTTGGTGGTGTTTGCCTCCACAGCTCCGGCTGGACTTCTTTCTTTCCAGGACCAGGTTTCCTTTCACCCAGGGAAAAAAAAAAAAAGGGACTAGAACAGCCAAACTGCAGGTTGCGTGAGCTGTTTACGAGCTACTTGTGGCTGAAGAGCTGTGCTTTGATCCCCTTGTAATAGAGAATTTCTATTAATAATATTTCTGTGTTTTTAAAGAGTAGAAGCAGCTGTAAAACAGAAATAGTGTGATATTTTAATTATGTCTTAACACACATTCCTTCTCAAATTCCTGAGAACAGACCATTTTTTTCACTATTATAGTGTCCAGCAAAGAATTTCATTTTGTGGTAGTTGCCTAATCTTCTTTTGCCGCTTGCTTTATGTTTCTTTACTAATTAGTTTCACAAGTTTTTGACTTTTTTTTAAAAATAACAAAAACTGATAATTGTCAGTTAAATCATAGTCTTTTCATTTCCCTAGAAAAATTCTTTATACAGTACTGAAAGATGTAAAGTGTTCCAGTGTGATCTTACTAAAGATGATCTTACAGAAAATATACCAGCAGATTCTGTGGATGTTGTCACACTTATATTTGTGCTCTCTGCCATTCATCCTGACAAAATGCACCTTGTCTTGAAGAACGTTTACAAGGTAGGCACGAGCAGCTGATTTTACAGCCTTTAAAGCACTTTTATTCTTTTTGGCTTGAAAGTACAATTTTATTCTAAAAAAACAACTCTACTTTTAATCGTGATCCTTAATTAACACTATATTCCCTGGGAGTATTTAGCTAGCTCTTGGTATTTTGAGAGTTGTTTGGATTCTAGTCTTAACGTGTGTCGTCAGCATAACAAAATGGTATCTTGGACCCGTGAATTTGCTGCTAGTTGTACACTACAAAGAGTATTTTCAGCTTACAGAAATGCCTGTGTCTGTAAGATAGGAATGAAAGTGCATCAAAAGTCACTTCCAGACGACGCAATGACTTGCAGTTGGAGTTTGATTATTAAACTCGCTTGATCTATGTGATTTAGAAATGGGCTGTTCATATATACTAATGTTAACCTAGAGATACTCTAGGTTGCCTTGTAGTTGATGGAGAGAGGGGCCCATCCAGAGGGTAGTTCAAACCACTTGAATTGTGGTTGTTCTGAACTTTGTTTTCTGAGATGAGTCTGTCATATTGACTATAGAGGGACATAGTCAACGTAATATTTTTTAATGTGTGTGTTGTATGTGTGTATCTGTGTTTATATATTATAGGATATCCTTTTTATTTTATCCTCAGTAGTCTGAAAAAAAAAGAATGTCAGATTTTAGGATGCTTCCAGCAGTTTTCCAGAGTTGCGATTGATTATTAGCTCATGCACACGAAAAGGCTAATTGCTGTTTTCTTTGTGGAGATACCAGGCTTGTTTAACTCACTTGTACATTTCTATGCAAATTTACAAGTTGCAAATATTCCTTTTCCTCTCTAAAGAGTACAGGTGGTATTTGTGAAGGTAGGAAAGTTGTATATATGGAATACGTAAAGTCAGCACAGCTAATGACTATATTTTCTAAATTTTAAACTCTTTATAGATTGGTTTCTTTACAAAAGAGCAACAAAAAACCCAACCTGCAACCCTTTTCCCTGGAATTGTTCCTTTTGTATTTCTTATTATATCACAAAATGTTTCCTTCTCACATTAAGAAAGAGACATTGTAGGTATTCTAAATCTTACTGTCAAACGTTAAACAAAACCACGTGCTAGATTGTATACTAGCCAACAAAGAAAATGCCCTGTTAGGACTTTGTTTTGGTTGTTAAAGTGAGTATTTTCTTCTTTCCTCTGTATGTGAAGACTGTTGTGAAAAGCCTATTTAGCTGATCAGCATCCAAACAGGTATCCTAAAATGCTTTTATACTCTAATATTCAGGGGAGATATTTTTTTAAGAGCAGACATTCCAGTTTTTATACAATTTTTTTTTTGTTGCACAAGGACTGAATTTAAAATATGCATCAGTTGTGTACTGAATACGTTAGGACACTTTGTCTTAGTTGTGTATGTGTATATATGTATACAAATACATATGCTTGTGTATGTATATGTTATATATGAAAGTGTGTATGTGTATATATGCGCCTGTGTGTGTGTGTATGTGTCTATACATGGCTAAATCAGTTTACCTTATTAAAGCTTAAGTGTCTTATGTGACAGGTATTAAAACCAGGCAAGTGCGTCTTGTTCAGAGACTATGGGCTGTATGACCATGCAATGCTCAGATTTAAATCTGGCAGCAAACTTGGAGAAAACTTTTACGTTAGACAAGATGGGACAAGATCTTATTTTTTTACTGAAGGTAAGGCGTGTTGTAGACTGCTTTCTTTTCTGTGAATCTTCTTTTTAAACTAGCTTCAGAGATTTGCTGCTATTCCTGTAAAAGTTGGGTTTTGCATGGATGAAACGTTAAATCGTAATGGACTTAATTTGCTGTCTTTTTCTTTATGGGAGTTTATTGATAAGACTGGCAGGACTTTTCAGAGCTCTGCTTGTTCAGAAGCTTCTTGTATGTGCCATTACATGAAAAGAGCAGTGCTTTCTGAACTTTCTGTATTTTGTTCAGACTGATTATCTAAAGGAAAATAAACCTGCTTGGTAAGAGATTTGAACATCTTCATCAAGCAACTAAGCAGTTATCTTGCCACCATCCTCTTTTGCAAGGTTATTCCTGGCGTGCAAGATGGTGTGTACTGATGAAGTCAATGCCTTTTAAAGCAGAATCATGACTAGAGTGCTGAGAAGCTCATGAGCAGATCCTGCTGAGAGAGCACTGGCTAGCTGCTGTCTCTTTCTGCCGTTTCTTTGTAAAGATGATGTAAAAAGCATTTCCATGTGATGTAGCATTTGAATGACTTTTTATTCAGAGCTCAGAATGCTTTAGGAAGAAAGATCATTGTTCCAGTTTACTGGTGGGAAAATTGAAGGACAGACACGCAGGAATTTGCTTAGACTCTTGCAATGAATTGCAATTATAGCTCTTGTCTCCTAACTCCCAATTCCTCATGCTAAACTTCGGTTAACTGTTACTTCCCCCTATCAATTAC